TTATCCTGAAACCAGAAAAAGACCCAACCAAAAGAGAACTACAAGCCAATCTTCCGAATTAATATAGACATAAAAATCCTCAGTAAGATATGGCAAACAGAATGCAGCAAATCATCAAAATTATACACTATGACTAAGGAGGATTCATCCCAGGGATGGTTCAACATATGCAAATCAATAAATGTAATACACCAATATTAACAGAACCAAGACAAAAACCGTATGATTGCCTCAATAGATGTACAAAAAGGGTCTGAAGTCCAATACTCATTCATGATAAAAACCCTACAGAAAATTGGAAAACAGTGTCTTTATCTTAATCTGATAAAAGCCTCCTATGACAAACCAACAGTCAACAGACAAAAGCTGAAAAGGTTTCACTCTAAAATCAGGAACAAGACTAGGATGTCCACTGTCGTCACTCTTACTCAATTAAGTTCTGGAAATATTAGCCAGAGACAAGGGAAAGAAATAAAAGGAATAAAGATAGGAAAGAAAGAATCAAAATCAGTAGGGTGGCCAGTAGGGTGGCCAGTGATACAGCTCATCGGCACAGTGCCTGCTTGGCAAGCACAAGGTCATGAGTTAGATCCCCAGTTCCAAAAACCAAAACAAAACAAAAAAGAAAGAAAGAAAAAAAAAAAAAAAAAAAAACCGACAAAAAACCAGTAGAGCAGCTGGATACAAAGTCAACTCTCAAAAATCAGTAACATTCCTGTATATAAACAACAAACTCACTGGGAAAGAAATTAGGGAAACCACACCTTTCACATTAGCATAAAAAAACCTCTAAACAACAAAAACAAAAACAAGAAAGAAATACCCAGGAATCAATCTAGAGGGAGAAGTAAAAACTTTTTACATTGAAAACTACAGAAAAAGAAGACTGAAGAGGATATCAGGAAAATGGAAAAATAGTTCTTGTCCTTGGATAGGAAAAACTAATATACTTCCAAAATTATTACACAGATTTATTGCAATCTTGATCAAAACACTGATAACATATCTTGCAGAATTAGAGAAAACAGTAAGCTTCATTTGGAACCAGAAGAGACCTAGAATAGCAAAATCAATTCTGGGCAATAAAGGCAAGGTAGAAAGCATCAATCTCTGACTTGAGATTATACTACAAAGCTTTTTAAAATAAGGACTTTAAAAAAACACAACTGGCAACCTCAGGATCAATGGAACAGATCAGAAAATATAGAAACAACCCCAAATACACTTAGCCACCTGGATCTTGGACAAAGAAGCCAAATAACTTAACTGGAAAACTAGCCTCTTTAATAAATAGTGCTGGAAAAACTAGCCAAAGATTAAACTAGACCCATATATCTCACTATGTAGTAAACTAAACTTGGAATGGATCAAAGATCTAAATACTAAAAAAGACACCCTAAATCTGCTGGACGATCGAATAAGTAGAACTCTTGAAGACACTGGTGTAGGCAAAGACTTGAGCAAAACCCCAATAACACAAGAAATAGCACAAATGAACAACTGGGACCTTGTCTTTTTTATTTTTTGGTATCAGGAATCGAACTCAGGGTCTTGCACTTGCCAGGCAGGTGTTTATTCCACTGAGCTATATCCTTGGCCTGATCTTGTCTTCCTATAAAGCTTCTGTACAGCAAAAGAAACCATCTACAGAGTGCAGTGACAATTCCAGTGTGAGAAAATTTGCCAGTAAAGCTGTGGGGAAACTGGAACCCTTCTCCACTGGTAGTGGGACTATAGACTCATGCAACCATTACGTAAATCACTGTGGAAATTCCTCAAAAATCTAAAATTAGAGGTTTCATTTCACTCAGCTATTCCTTTTCTTGGTATCTTCCTGAAAGCATTAAAAGCATTATACTTCTACGGTATGTACATATTCATGTTTACAGCAGCAGTTATTAAAAGCTAAATCTTGGAAACATTCTCAAATGCCCATCAACCAATGAATGAATAAAGGTGTGAGTTTCCTTAAATACAACGAAGCACTACTCTGCCATAAAGAAGGATAAAATTGAGCCATTTATAGCTAAATTGAGGCACCCTGAGACTATACCCCTACCTGAAATAAACTGGACACACAGGTTTAAAATCAGCACTGCTTCTCTGCTGTCAGAAACTGAAAGTGTAAATAAGGATCACAATGTATAATGGATATTGGGAAGTGGGTAGAAAATGTTCAAATAAGAAAGGGAACAAGGAAAGGAGGAAGGAAGGAAGAAGGAACAAGAAAAAAGGAAAAGACAAAAAAAATGGCAACAGCTTTTGTAAATAAGGAGGCAAAAAGGGGTTAAGGGAGAGGGGAACAGGAAAAAAAGCAACAGGCAAAACGTATCACGTACAAGTTCAAATTCCTTATGATGAATGTTATCACCCAGAAAAGTACTGAAAAAAAAGAATCACTGCTTGTCACTTGCTGCCTTCTGCCTTTCCTGATTTGCCGTGTTCCTCCGCTATGCCACGCTGCCTTGGAACCAGCCAACTATGAAGTGAAATCTCTACGAACTGTGAGGTAAGTAAACCTTAACTGCTTTAAAACAAAACGATTCTACCCATATCACACCAAGTTAGGAAAGCAAGACCCTCACCATCTCCAACAATTCTGTTCCTAATAATCACACACCATGTAGTTCTAATAAACTACTGCTGTTTACTTGTTACTCAGATGAATCACAGCACCCTAATAGCGGTCTTACGACTTGAGTAGACTAAAAACAACTTTTGTTTCTTCAACAAAAGATATTAACAGTTAAAACAAGATTATAAACTTATAGCACTATGCTTCTTTGCCTGGACTTGGTCACCAGTGCAGTGGTGTCCCTCCACCCAGTTTAGCACCTTTCAATATGCTAAGGTTCCAAAAAGGTAACTACAGATAGATCAGTTATTATGGACCACCCTTCAATAGTACAGATCAAATTTTAATAACTGATAGATATTTACCAAATAATTGCATAGAGCAAAAACTCTAATCCTCTATTCACAAACACTGCATAAATAACTATGTAATTAGCAGGTGCAAACTGTAATCAGTAACCTGCAACATCACTTCCTTGAATGTACATTAGAACCTAGTTACTGTCCATCTATTACTTAGTTCAGGAAGAGATAGCTAAGCATACATTATATAGTTTTTTTTTTTTGTTTTTTTTTTTTTTTTTTTATAGTTTTCTATCTCATCTCCCAGTGACAAACTGAATGACATTTAAAAAGAATATGTAATTGTCAGGACACTGGTTAAGGAAGGAATATACAGCAAAGAAATGAAAAACAATAATGGTACAAGTACAATTCACACAGAAAAGAAACACTTAAAAAAATGGCTGACCATGGGAATGTGGCTATTATTGCTGTTAGGGAGACTAATTTCTCAGCTAAAGGCACGCAGGTGCAGATGACCTTCCTGACATAAATGAGCAAAGTGGGTGTGACCAACATGTCCCAAAGAAAGTGACGCTGACAAAAGAAAAACTTGTATCAAAGGAAATCTTAGAAATTTCCTAGTACTGGAAAATTTGAAGGATTAAAATGTGGAAAGCTAATCCTAATTCACAATGGATTATGAGAATTCAGAAAGGTATAGGAAATGGATGAAGCAGTTACTTGTTCAAACTACCTTTTGTTAAGTTTTATTGCAAAGAAGTAAAATACTTTAATTCTCAATATTACTATACTAAGCAACCTTATTTTAGTATTTGGTATCCTTTCTCTAAATAAATGTATCCAGAAATAAAAGTTTTAATGTTTAAAAAAAAAAACACTGAAAAGTCAAAAATCAACTTTTCTCATTGATTTCTAAAATTTCTTTGCACAGTGTCAGCTTGTCTAGTCACTGATATGGTGCAATGCCATGTAATCCTAGGATTTTCTGTACTGGTTATCAGCGACCTGTTTCTATGTTTCCAGTTTGTCAACAGCAGAAAGAGGGAATTACAGATGAATTTAGACATTTCATTAACATGAAGTGATAAAAATTACTTAACACTATATAAGAGAAAAATATAACAGGTAAATTCAAAACCAGAAATAGTATCAACTTCTAATAATCTGTAACCAGATAGTTAAAGGCAACAGCCAACAGGAGAATCATGCCAAACTCAAAATAAAATCTGAATAAGTTTTGTGTCTTACCTGACATTCAAAGCCTTTTATTTCAGATTTGGCAGACAAGAAAACAGGATCTCATCACACGTACTCTGTTACATTACCTCAGAGATTATTCATTTAAATTGCTTTACTCTAGATGTGATAATGCATTCAGTCATACTCCTCTCTCACGCCCTCAACTCTCAGGAATTTTGGAACATAGTTGTGAGTGCAGAAGAAAGCGGCACTGGTAGAAGAAAACCTCATTTTACATTAAATTAAATGAATTTTAACTCAATCTAAATATCTAAAATGAAGTTAACCTTAACAAAAAGCTAATTTATACAATGGTACACTAAATGATCAATGTGCAGGCAAAAGCAAGGCTTTTCATACCCAAAAAGTGAATTTTCATGTGTGAACTGCTATCTTGAGTCTCTTGGGTTATGCAGACTCAACAGAAAAAATACTTAAAAAATATGGCTGACCATGAGAATGTGACACGGCTGGGCCATTGGTCTTTATAACAAAATAACCTGCCTTCCCTAATTTGCCATGGATTGTTACTCCTTTATGGTCTTTATTACAAAATAAAAGTATGTTCTTAGAATTCTTTCCTTTGAACTATAAAAATTTCAAAGTATAATCCAGTCAACTGTTATGACAGTCAACTGTTATTCGAAAGAACTCATCAGTGGCAACAAAGAAATCTGAGTTCTGGCCACCAACACCTACTGAAAGTTAACCACAGACATCTCCAGGATTCATGTTATCATCTGCAAACTTGAAGGACACCGTGGAGGATTACACTAGGTACTTAAGGTGATAACGAATTAGCATAATGTACGCTAAATATTAGCAACAAAAAAGAAAATTAGCATCGCATGCAGAGCTGATTCCACAGCATTAAGTTTTACCTTGGTAACTTCTTATACAGGAACCGCTTTAGGTCCTGAAAGAGAATATTAAAAAAATCATAAAATGCCTTCCACTGTTTTTCTAGATCTGTCCTTCTAACCTTCTAGAGACCTTAAGTCCTCACACATAACCCTTCTTGCTGGTGTTTTATCCCTCCATTTGTGATTCTGATGCTAGCCTTACAGCTGGAGCGAGGTAACCTCAAAGCTTTCGCTTCCCTGTCTATTGAGCAGGAATAATCACAGGGCTGCGCGGTTCACTGTGCTTCGAAAGGGGACACAAAACCACGGCTCGGCCATCAGATCCGACCTTTCTGTGGGCCTGCAGCGGTGGACTGCGGTGCCCTCTGGAGAGGGTGCAGACTCTCATGTCGAAATCCTGGATCCTCCGCAATCCCAGGCCCTCGCTAAGGATGAGGGTCCCGGGCTTCACCCGCAGATGTCGTAGGCGACGCAGGAGCCACGCACCCTCTCTCTGCCCGGCGGGACCTAACTAACGCCCGCCGTCCCGCACGGCCCGGCCCCGCCGCTTCAGCCCGCCGACCGTTCGCTCCCTGCCACCAGTCAAAGCCGTCCGCGGGAGCCCTCCGGTCGCCGCGGGACCGGTGCCGGCTGTCCCCTCACGACGCCAAGGAACCTCTCGCCAACAGCCCGCCCGCCAGGTGCAGGGCAACTCACGTCCGCCATGCCGCGCAGCTCCGACCTCGGCGCCTGCAATACAAAGCCTCCGTGAACGCGGGCCGGCCGCGCCCCTGCTCACCCGCGCCCAGCCCGGCCACCATAGATCGTGACCCGCTAGAACGGACAACTGCTCCCTCAGACTCGCCGTCTGATCCCCGCCCCGGACACCAGGCGAGGTGGTGCCCACTACCTGGCTTTCTCGGTTGTCTGTCTCCCACAGGCTTCCAGCAACAGCTTCAAACACAACTTGCTCGGCCAGCCACAGTCACGCAGCTCCAAACCAGATCTACCTTTCCGGAAGCAGTTGCTTAACCTACAACAGCTGCTGAGAGGAACTTCCGGGGCGAGGCTGGAAACACTGGCGCACGCTGCGTACTGCGCCTGCGCGTCTCCCTCCACTTCCTCCCATCGCAGCTGCGCCCTGGCCCTGTTTACCAGACCCTCGGCCCTCTGCGCCTGCGCACCACGCCTCCTGCGCCTGCGCCTTTCTTCTTGTACTCCGGAGTGCTATCTCAGATCATCTCGTGCTGAGCGGTCTGTGTACTACACTTGTCCTTGCTGATGCAGACGTTTGAGAGTGGCATGTTTGATGGAACACTACGAACTGGACTGCCTGTAATTCGAAGCCCCATCCGAAGCGACCTTTTCTGGTCACGGGATATAATTGCGCAGGAGCTGTGCACACTGCCACCCATTCCTCCGGAAGTGCGGTGTCAGCACTTTTCTTCGCGCTGTCCGGAGCGCACCTGCAAGGATTTACAGTACTGGTTTTGGTTGTGTCTTGTTCGCACATTGGAGGAGCGCCTGCTGTTGGAGGCAGCGGGACTACAGCGTTTGGCCACTAGGAGTCCTTGCTTTCACCAGGCTGATTGTATTGTTTTGTCTTGTCCCGGAGCTTCGCTGGGCGCCCCAGGGTGTCCTGCAGCTCCTGGGCCTTTAGGCTGCAGATTCCAGGAGCAGTTGCAACCCGTCAAGGGCATAGACTCACCCGGTTACTTTAGCTCCTCCTACGAAAATTCAGGTTCATTGCTTTTGTTTAGATTTCTTCTGAATCTTTATTTGAAACCATAAAATATTTTGAAAGATGAGATCTGTGGAAACTTGTTTACTCTGATGTTAGCTTCCAATCCTTTAAAGAGTGCAGAAGGAACTAATTCTGGTCTAAAACACTGGAAACTCTGGGTGTTTACTTTCCTGTGGCTATCTTTTGAGAGAATGAAATTGTAAAATACAATTTTTTTTAACACGTTCATGATGGGTCTGTAATTCATGCCTTGCGGGTGTGCCGCTTGAACCACCGCGGTACCAGCATGGCTGTCCCATACATTACTGACCACTGTACCAACGGTGATACAAGCCACGGGATGAGATAGTCATGTGCCTACCACTGGTGGTACCAAGGCGGCAGGCAGGGTAAGGTAATCCCTTTGATTTCTCACCTCTACGCCTCTACATTACTTGTCTCAGGTCCCCATTCACTACCCTCTCCTAGCTCTTCAGATGTCATACGGCATTTGCCAGTGCAATGAGAATGTAAACTAGTACTTTTATGGGTGTTCTGTTTACCATTTTTGTCTGTGGGTATCTTTTTTCATACATTTCTTGTAAACACTAAAAAGCTATAAAAATATGCAATAAACCTTAAACCACGCCCCTATTTTTATTACATAGTTTTTTTTGAATATTTGCTATTTTTCCTTCTTTGCATCTTCCCATTTTTGCATTTGTTTTTTCAGTTCTTGATTGAAGTTATTTCTGTTCAGCAAAACCAAATCAATAGACTCTAGCTTTCCATCAGTCAAACAAATATGAAAGTCAATTTAAAAAAGAAAAAAGATTTACTTCGGCTCAGTTTTTTAAGTTTCATTCCATGATGAACTGGTCCCATTACTTTGGGCATGTTATAAAGCAACTAGTGCTAATGGCCAGAAAGCAAAAAAGAGAAAGAGACTGAGGTCCCACATTTCCCTTTAAGTGCATATCCAGTGACAGGAAGACATCCCACTGTGCTCATCTCTTTAGGTGTCCACCACCCACCAAAAGGACTGTGCAGAGGACTACACCGTTATGACTAAACCTTTGGGTAGACTGAAGGCAGCACAACTAAATGACAGCACACAATAATTTGCTAAAGCAATGTATATTACTACTTGCTCAAAAACCTTTTGTATGGTACCAGTACAGACAATGATTAAAGCAGTCTATGTGTGCCCAATAATATCACTCAGTTTTGCTTATGAATGCATTATAATCATGATCCTCTACCATAACCCAATTGATGAACTCGGCCTTGCACCAGCGTGACTTTTTATCTTACCCCACGCTCAGGTCCAGCTGCTGGGTTAGGTTACAAAAAATTCGTATAACTGAATACTGTAAATCTCTCACCAATCAGGGACCCACAAAAATCCTTTTTTTCTTTTTTAGCTTACTGCAGAAATTACCTTTATTCTTTTGCTCTTTATTCTTTCCCTGCTCCCTCACTTTTATATAAACTGCTGAGCTTAACAAACCAGAGGCCAGAAAACTCCACTTCACTTAACTACCAATCTGTCTGTATTCAAACCTATCCTTGGTTCATTCCTTTTTCCAAAAAATGTTGTGTCTCTTAGTCAAAGTAATTTTTACATATTTGTGAAGGGATCTGTGTATCCTCTGGATATGCTGGGCTCAGCGATATTATCCCTACTTTTAATCTGTCACTTTTGTCTTGTTTCTTTCTATTGATATAAAAAATACGATCTCATACTATATTCACTGAAAAAAAGCCTTCTATAGAAACCACTTTCTCTTTGAGCTGCAACTCTTTATTTACTCTTCATAACCAAATTTTTGGAAATCTTTAGTCTCCTTTTTAATGGCTCAAAATCCAATCCAAAGAGTCTTGAGTCTACATTCTGAATCTTTCTGAAAATCATTCAGTTTATGTATACTCCTGTTCTGGTCTATGCCATGATCATCTCTCCTTTCCAATAACCTTTCTAAATATTGACTTCTGCCCTCTACTCTTCAAACAGTAACTTAAATGATAGTCTAAAAAACCTAAATCTTATCATGTAAATCTTCCCTTAAAAACCTCACTTTTTTACCTTGAACTCACTATGTAACCCAGGCTGGCCTTGAACTTGTCTAGCCTCAGTGTCCCCAAAGCTGAGATCATCAGTATGTACCAACACACCCAGTTGAGTTTTGACCACTGACAGGATACAGCACAGTGTTATCACCATGGATATATGTGATCCTATGCAGACCTGGCTCCTATCTTCATTCTCTTACCTACCCTGGGATCCTTATGCTAGGATCATGTTTGTTTTACTTTCATAGTTTTTATGACAATCAGTTTGGTCACTGCCTGAAATATTTCCCTATGCTTCACCTTATTCCTGCTTATCTTTGGGTTTCAGCTTGTGTTAGTTACTTTTCTCTCATTGCTGGGGCAAAATACCTGATACCCAATGGAAGGAGAGGATTATTTAGTTCACAGTTCAGAGGTTTCAATCCATAATCAGCTGACTCCAAGCCAGGGTGGTATGGCAGAGGAGCAACAGTTCACGGCAATGGAAGACAGCAAAAGTAACAAGCAAAAGGGGAGGAGAGAGATCAAGCTTCTTTCCCACCTTTGTATCATATGCAAGATATCTGCCCCAGGTTGGGTGTAGCACTCACACACACAATCCCAGCACTAGACAATGAATCACAAATTCTAGAAGCCCACCCCCGTGAGTACATGAGGCTTTGGGGGGACATCTAGTTACAAGCCGTAACATAGCTTAAGATCAGTATCTCAGGGAAACCTTTCCTGATCCTCCCAGAACAGTTTAGGTCTACTAGGTACATACTTTCAATGTATCTTGTAATTTTCTGTCTCAATTATCAAAATTGTAATTAGCTTTTTACTTTGTTTTCTAGATGTAAACTTCCTAAGAGTTTTTAATCTTGTTCAGTGATTCTTAGTACAAGCTCATTATTTTAGAATACAATAGGGATTTACACATTTGTTGAATGGCCAAATAAAGAATGCAAATTTCATGAGAATATAATACAGTAAACCTTTTACAGTGAGAACAAACCTTTTTATTAAGATATTGAGATAAAGTACAGACTTAAAGACAAAAATTCATCATAAATCGTTCAGTAGAACATTCATTAAAAATCAAATGCATTTTCTTTAGGAGTTCTCACACAGGAAATTTTATTTTATATAACTCTGATATAACATTAGTTTACAAATCAGACATTTCATTTTTAAACCTAATTATATAATCTTGAGTGCACTATAGACGAAGTAAGATCTCCTTTATGTTTCATTTCAGTTAGCTTATACAAGGCTTCCATTAAAATTCCATTGTGCCTTGAAGATTTCCTGTAGCTTTTAAAAATACATAGTAAACTAAAAAACTTTCAATGGACAATCTTTCAAAGCAATTTAAAAACCAAAAAGAAAAAGGCAAGAAGCATTTCTTAATGCAAATAATAAAATATCAATTTTTTTCTCCTAAGCAATATAGTCATCTAGGTAAAAAAAAATCCTCTCAAAAGTGATGGCCAGAGCACCCCAGTGTCACTGTTAGCAGAGTGCGCATGAGTGGCAGGCTCAACCAGAGTAGACAGGGACAAGACTCACCCCCCTCCTGCCAGCGGATCTGTTCTGCATGAATTAGCTATCTCCATGGCAGTCATCAAATTCTTAGTCATTTATGAATTAAGACACTCCAAGAAACACTTCTTACCCTTATGTAGTTCCAGGTTACTAGACTTAAAAAAAGACAAGTTATTTTTGAAGTATGGGCCTTAAAATAGGAATCTATATTAAAACATGAGGATCAACAGAAAAAATTCACACCAATGAAATCCTGTGGACTGATTTTCAAATTTGGATAAGAATACCCATTGCTAATAGAAGCCCTGCTCTGTGCAAATATAGTGTTACATATTAAATAATCACACATCTGAGGTATTAGCTGGAAAAAATGCATATGTACACTTACACTTGTACACATCACAGAATATTACAAATCTATTGGCCCCAACACCAGCAGATAATCAAATTAAATGAAAAGGATCATATACCAACAGGAAAATGTTATAGGGAATTTACAAAAATTTTATTACATAATCCTTAATATAAGGAATATGTTTTAAATTAATGTTTTGAGGAAAAAATTACCATTTATATGAAAGTATTTATTTAATAGTAATGAAACCCAAAATGAAGCCTGAATTCTAGGACTGTGTTGCCTGCCAGACTGAAGGGGGAGTGCAAGAATTCTCTGGATAGCCACATTCTATCCACTTTTTCTTTGTAACTGTAAATCAGAACATAGGGAAAATTTCAAATTATTAAAGTATTCCTTTCTTTTTCACTGGTTTTTACAGAATGTTAGGCATTTTAACTAGGCAGTAGTCTAACATGTCCAATAGACAAGGGTTTTCATGGACTTAGTAAAGAGTAAAATTCAAATTGATTTTTCATTTTTATAATTTTTTTCTATTTGGAAATGAGAAAAAAAGTGATGAATTAAATTCTCTTCTAGTTTGCTTCACTCAGTATGAAGATGAACCCATCAAGGACAGCATAAATAAATGCACTCTTAAACATTTGGTCCTTTGCCATAACACTTACTTAACCAGAAAAATGGCTCCTTTGGTCCTTACATTCATCAAGAAGTATTCCACTGTCTTAACAAGGCAGATTTTAAAAAGTAAAATATGCAGAAATACATTAAGTAACATTTGCATGTCACTGGTATTAAATAGCTGAATTTAAAAACATTACAGATCCAATGGAAGGGACATCAACTAATTTCATTTTACATCTAGAGGAAAACAAGATTTCTCAAAAGAAAATGAAGCATACAAGTGCAGTTAAACTGAAGGGTTAGTAATCCACGTTTCTGTTCCCATTGACACCTGAGCTTATACATAACAGAGCACTGTAAAGCATGGAGATGCTTCCAGGACTTGATCTCTTTCTATCAAGTCTTTGTAAACTGTAAACATACATGCAGTGATCATGAAACTAGCATCCAAAGACAATCTGTTCCCAAAATATATTATTTTTACTTAATTAGATGGATAACTTAAAATTTCTCATTGTCAAGAATTCAACTTATTTATTGATCAAAATAAGTTCCAAGGCTTACAGATGATTAAAGCACTAGCACCAGTCATTTGGAAACTAAGAAAATCAACAGAAAAGGAACAGGGTACTATTTCCTTTCTCTCAAACCTTCACAAGAACAATTGTGTCTGTATGTGAACATAAAAAGAGATAAAATACATAAAGCATGAATAAATACAACTATCAAATTTCCAAAATACCAGTTAGAGAAACTAGTTAAAGTCAATGCCTTTTACGTAGGAACTAAAGTAATCAAGTAAAATTGTGAAGCCCATGTAGCTAAAATGTAAGATGGCAAAACCCTAGAATTTTTAATCATAAAGGAGTAACAAACATGAAAATCTTACATCTAAAATAGTTAAGTCTTCCTACTGTGTACGCATGACCTAAAGTTACAAGATACTCACTGCCTTTACATTAATAACTCAATTTTTACCTCACATGTTATATGTGCCTCAAATTATCAGTTACTCAAACCAACCCTTTTTCATAGTTGTTTGAAAATTTTATCAAACACATGTTCCTGACAAGTTATGAAATGTAATGGAATGCAATAATAGACCTGAACTATAATACTGTCCAAAAGCCATTTGTGGCTTTATAACATAGAACTTCATTTCATTTGAGAATTTCACCCATCCCTTTAAAGCAAAGATTTAAAGGAAAAAGGAATCAGTCAACAAGGTTTAGGTCATATAAGAATTAACCATAATAATGAAAATTTTCCATTAAAATTGGAAAAATAAACATGAATTTTTTTGAATTTTTAGATATATATGAATTTTCATAATTAAAATGCTATGTCATTTTTAAAAACCCTCGACAGGCTCAAAAAATATTTAAAATTTTACTTTAAGCATTACTTTTCTTTTAAAGGTCACATTTCTGAAAGAAATTGGTTAAGTTACTAGGATTTCCTATTAGAATATATTTACTTTAACCTCAAATTTAATCACGCTTTTTACCGATTTACTTAGGAAAGGGATACAAGAAAACATTTTTAGGGGAATATCATTTTAGCAGTTTTTATTTGACAAGAGTCTAAGTCAACTGCATCCTCCAAAAAAATCTTTAAACAAAAGTAACGAAACCACTCCACCTTGCTCACAGAAAGACGGCCAAAAATATGTTCATGTTCCACTGAGTAGGAAGCAAAATCATTAAAATATTACTAGCACAGAAGACTAGAAATCATGGGGCTGGGGATTTAGCTCAGTGGCATAAGCACCTGCCTTGCAAGCAGGCGGTTGTGAGTTCGATCCCCGGTACCGATTAAAAAAAAAAAGAAGACTAGAAATCAAATAGTTCCATACTCAATAGATAGGCACCAAAAACTTCAATTACCAACTGCTGTTTGTCTAATTTACATGATGGATTCAATAATAAGGAGTGTATTCCTAAAGGATTAATTGAGTTACTCAACAATGAGTCGATTGTAGCTTAGGATTTTTAACGGATGACTTGCTATCTGCTATCTAATTTACTACTCTACCTGCGGTTCTATTTCTGCTCACTTGTTGCATGTGGCCAAACAGATCCTGGTCAATAAATGAATGGTAACCATTTAGGAGTTGGCAGTAGGGTTAAAAGGCACAAAGCTGTATTTGAGTAGTAATTTTTCTTATTGTTTGTAGAAGAATCTATCTAACCTTTGGATCCTGTTTAAATGATCACTAGGAAAATGCAAGTTTCTATGGGCAGAAAATTAGGTGTCTTCTTCATAGATGTTAGCAGCCTTCCAAGACATAAATGAACACTGCGGCCTTTTTTTAATGCAAAAGCATAACTATAATTTTCTATTGAAGACCCTCTTAATTTAATATTTATAGCCATTTTCTCATATTTTCTTTAAAATTTATCAGTGTAGCATTTCATTTCTACATATGGCTTAGCAATTCAATAAACTAAATAAACTGATAGTCTACACCAATTCATTTATCTCAGTACATATTTTGAAATATAATGGCAATATTAAAAATATTGATTCCTTCTAAACTGATAATGCTGTAAGAGTTTACAGAGACTTGGGTTTTATTTTTCCATTTGAAAAGTTTCACTGTTTCGACTCCACATACTTGACACCTGACAGGGAAAACATAATTGTGAACACAACATTTATTCCATTGCTTTAAAAGGAGTGTCTCATGGAGCTAACCGCTAAAATAACTTAAACAAAAGGCAACAATCTCTATGTACACAAAATGCTCATTCCATATATATATTTACAGGATGAGGAACCAACGGAGAATCACTAAAAGTGGAAATCGCTACAGGTATGACAATCCCTTCTCAAGACATCTTTAGTTAGGAATCATAGAAGCTTTTCAAACGAAAGTCACTGCAGAAGCACAACTAAAACGTTAGATTTAGTTTGCAGTTCTTACTATTTTAAAGGAACCAGGAGGTTAGAAACAGTCCGAGATTTCAGAAGCCAACCATTCGGTTTAGTTTTTCCTATCACATCTTTTCTTCAGCTCTCTTGATGACACTAAATTTACAGAGGAGATCGGGGTGTGCTCACAGGTCCAGACGCAAGCCTGCTCAGCCTCCTTTGTACAGACTGGTCAGTCGTTCCAGTTCTTTACAGTTGTCCATGCTCAGGGCCTCTGCCTTCCTCCGGAGTCGATCATCACGGTATACTTTCGCAGCATACTGCATGTCTGTTTCTGTTAACAAAAATATTTTGTTATATAAATGATCATTTGTATCACTCAGCTGTTTTAAGTTCAAATGATGCTTCAGAGAAGATCTTCAATGTATTTCTGTTAAGTGACTTTTAAAAACGAAAAGTTTAGTTTTAAAAACTAAAAGCTTCTTGGGCAACTCAGGGCCTTGTAAAAGCTAGCGAGGTGTGCACTGCTGAGCTGCACGCCAAGCTTTTCTTGAGATGGGGTCTTGCTCAGCTGGCCAGCCACCCTCAACTTCCTGTCCTGCCTCAGCCTCTCAAGTAGTTATGATTAAGGCTTGCACCACCATGCCCAGCTAGAAAACTTTCTCTTTAAATGGAATCTTCACTTGAAGCTTCATGTGTAAAACAAGCACAGAGGAGAAGCAGGGAGGAACCCTGCCAGCCCTCCCCGGAACCCTCCCCTGCGCTCCAGAGCCAGTGGCTTAGAAGTCAACGCTCGGAAGCATAGCTCGGCCTCTTACCGTGCAATACCACATGCTAGTCATGCTGTCAGTGAATCTGCTTTGATTTTTTTGTTAAGGTTTCAGATAATTTCAAATTGAAATATGACAGTATAAAATCTTGTTCTCAGTTTATCTGAATTTTAAAAAGTTACATTACTCTGTATCTCTGTAGCTATAATTATTGAAGGAACACAGGAAAATGCTTGTTAAGGAACATAACAGTGATATTCTGCAAAGAAACACTTGTGAGGCTTTCTTGAATTGCTGAAACAAATACACGGATTGCAAATCAAAACTTAGCTGGGTATGGTGGTGCATACCTGTAAGCCTAGCACTTGGGAAGCTAATGCAGGAGGATCACTGTGAGGTTGAGCTGGCCTGGAATACACCTGAGTTCAAGGCCAGCCACAACTGCACAGGGAGACTCTATCTCAGAAGAAGAAAAAACAAACAAACAAACAATCTCAACTCTTCAAGGAAGTTACTTTTAAGTCTTTTAGTGTTTGCTAACACTGCTAACCAGTGGGGTACTTAGGAAAGACAACAACAAAGACGTGAAAGAGTAAGTTACTTTATAGAACTAATGTCCAAAGGAGAAGCCATCCGGTTTGTATGTGTTAGTCAGGACCACATTTAAAATAGTCTTACAGGTAAAACTGCAGTATTCTATCACCAGAAACAATCTTTATTCAATCTTGTTTTGACCAGGATTAATAATTTAATCAATAATACTCTATACCTGTACTTACAAATAATACACTTGTAAAACCTACTTGTCAATGATTGTTTCTAAAACCTCAGAGTTAATAAACCACAGTTTACCCTGCTAATGAATTACAGAGTCTACATCCACATCCTAATGTGCAACTCCTAGGCTAACTTTACATTCCTGTATTTTGAATTTCTGCTTGTATTTATAAACCACTTACTTCCCAGTCTATACATTAGGGAGCATTAGAAGTAACTCCAAGACAGAAAAACCTTGGCAAAAGCACATGCACTGACCGACAATCGTTGTATGACTTTAATCTATGAAACGATAATTTCAGTGCTGGGGAACAGTTCAGTGGCTGAGCACGCTCCAGCAGTGCAGGGCTCTTGCTTCACTCTCCAGCACCACAAAGAAGATAAAGGAGAAAAACCCCATGGAAGGGAGCAGTCAACAGACTGACACCTGGAGCTCCCTGCACTTTCTACCATTAGAGGCCCCAGGCAGAAAAGTATTGAATATGCTGAACTTCACTTTGAAAACTTTCAAAGCTACACAAAAATTAAGAAAAACACAATGAACACCCTAAAATTTTTTACCATGTTTGACTGTTCTCCACATTTTTTTGTCAAGTTTGTTTTAGTTCTCTATCTCTAACCAAGACTGTGCCTATGGTGATTTTTGCAGTTATGACTTCACGTGTTCCCCCAAGGAGGCAGAGTCTCTTCAGGGACCCTCGGTAGAAGCCAGCCTGATGGACGGCATGCCCCAACTTCACCCATGTGCCAGAGCCCCATGAGGGGTGCTCCTTCCCCTCCCTGTGAGGAACCAAGGGAAGAAATACTGTTTTCAGCTGCCTTGTCTCTTTCCTCTCCTTCAGTCTCACAGAACGGTGTCTTCTGTTTCATTGATATTTTTTATACAAGCAAGCTATTTTATAGATGAATGACTCAAAGTATGAAAATTTGTGGTAGCAACTTCAATAGACACATACATAGGCGTGTACAATTTAATTGCGGACAATATGATGTATGAACAGAACACGTATTGAGGGGTCCATGAAAACTATTAATACTGACCTTGCCAGACAGTTGAAAGATTAAACTAGATTATGCCAAACAAAAACACTTGCCCAGACTGCTCACATAAGACATACACTAAATGCTAACCTCCTGAGTTTTGTTTTGATTTTCTTGAGACAGGATCTCATTCTTAGTCCAGGCTGGCCCAGAACTTCTGGTGATCCTCCTGCCTCAGCCTCCTAAATGCTGGGATTACAGGCATGTACCCCATGCCTGACTGCCACATATTATCTGTTATGAACCATGATAAGGGAACTGAAATCTATGTAATATATTCTTAAGAGTCAGGATCTTGGAGGGCTGGGGATTTAGCTCAGCAGCATAAGCACCTGCCTTGCAAGCAGGCAGTCGTGAGTTCGATCCCTGGTACCCGTAAAAAAAAAAAAAAAGAGTCAGGATCTTGTGTGGCAATTCCAAGGCTGGCACTTTAACCATGATACTCACTTATCAACCAAATACATGTTAATAACAGCAGTGATACCAGTGTCATTAAGTCCTTACTGGGTGCCAACTGCTGTGTAAGACCTATCACACGTATTCTGCTGGAGCCACAGACACTGGCCCGAGGGACCCCTGGGATTAAAAAGAAATCCCAGGATGTGTAAGTCCCTTATATACAAAGGCAGTGTCTGATCTATCTGCATCCTTCTCTGTATTCTAGCTGTGTATTAGTTATACTAATATTACAGAAATGCTATGCTGTTAGTTGTTTTACTGTACTGTTTGGAGAACCCTGACAAAAAAAGGAAAAAAAAAGTCTGTACATTTGCAGGACAAACGCAATTTCCCTCTAAATATTTCCCACTGGTGACTGTGGTGACTGGCTGAGTCCAGGGCGGAGGGAGGGAGCCTGACACAGAGGCTGGCTGCAAAAAGGACTGTGATGTGAATGTGTCCCACGTAATTTCAGAACATCCATGAGGAGGAAAGTCTGCAGTAATCAATCCCAAAGACTGTGAATAAGCTTAACATTTGATCAACTTACTTTGTTGTCTTTCTTTCCAGCAGTTATTTCGAACATTGGTCACATAATCTTCTTCCACACTCTTTTCCACCTTTTGTAGTAACATTCCTTTGTACTCATTTTTAAAGTCCTTGTTGACATAATAAACCACTCCCAAGTTTTCTGTTTGCATTTTAATAGTTTGCCCTGTTCCACTGTGAAAAAAAATGCATGATTATTTTTAGTTAAAATTATGCTAATATTCTACCACAAACCAAAATAATAAGATAAAATAATTTAAAAGTTAGTAATATTTACATTGTCTCAAATTGCCTAAAACCAGAATTTCATGTCATTTTAATATAGTATGTTCTTAAAAGTTCTCTCAATTTTTAGCTAATAAAAGTTTTATTTGGAAAAAATAAAAAGTTATGCTTACTTTAGGGAATCTTGTTTTTAATACTGCAAAATCATTGCCAATATGATCTTACAGTTTCCTTTATGTTTACTGTCTTAGAGTCATTGCATTGAATTTCCTTCACGTCCTGACCTCTCAGTGAAGTCATTTGTCACTTAAGGACAATTATCCTTTTTGTCTTTGAAGTATTTTTGTCTTTTAAACTAGTTTTGTCTTCAATATCAACACAATCCCTACCACATTACATTCAATTCAAATATAGCACTTCTGTCCTTATATACAGTGGAAAATGTAAATTAATAACATAAAACACATTTATCACTTACGTAGCTATTTTAAAAAGTAGAGATTTTTAAATGTGACACAGACATAGTAAAAGATTTGCCATTTAAAAGTCTAAAAGCACACAGGCCTTTTAAGGGAAGCCTGATAAGAAATAAAAATAGTTTTTATAAAACTTCATTTAGCTACTTACGATCTGGGATATAAAGAATAAGGAGGATTAGAGACCATCAAGTGGCTTAACAATGACACCAGGATCAATACAATTATGGGCATCAGCTGGATAAACACAGAAAAACCTCCCTATAAAAAAATCATCAAAGGATAATAAATTGTAATGTAACCACAATTGTCAATAACAAATAGTTGTCATTCATCTTTAGACACAGCGGGGGCCTCTGGGATCTCCAGTTAGTGCAGCTCTGAAATCTGCGCACCACATCAGGTTGCTGAGGTGGCTCCTAAGAATGCAGTGCTCCAGGCACTCTGGCTGGCAGGCTGGAGAGCACCTCTGCAGGCTGACCCTGCTCTGCCCATGGGGAGGTCGTCCTGCCTGGCACCGAGAGAGGCTGCCAATATGCCACGCCTGCAACAGTGCTTCCCGCGGGCTAGGAGAAGGGAGACGGCACTGAGGAGAAGCCCTGCCTTGTAATTTCTAGGCTTGAGCTCCTTCTCACTGTCTTTCCACCTTACACCTCTAGCAATCGTGTTAAAACAAAGCAAAATTACTTACTTAAGTTTTCTGTATCCTCTTCTTGCAATCAAAAAGTACCTCTAACACATGCAGAGTACACAGGCATGTCTTTACTAGACCCAGAATAGCAAATCTCCCCCCACAGCAATCCACACTCCCCGCCCCTAAGGGGCTCCTGGTCTCCACTGCACACACTGCTAACTAAATCTCATTAATCCTAAAACAACGGTCCTGCTTTTAGCAGCTGTACTTGCTTTTCATGGGCTGAAAGGTAATATTTTGTGATTTCTAATCATGTCATAAACATACATCTCCTCTTTCTTCTTCTCTTTCATGTCCACTGTGTCGATGCTGATGTTGATTGCTATAACCAGCTCGGCCATTTGAAAATGAATGTACACTACCTATGGATCAAAATTAAAAGCAAGGCTAAGTTAGGGAGAGCAACCGTGATCAGAAAAGTCACATTTTCTTTTACACGTTTAACAAATTACTAAAATAACACATGTGTACTCGGATCAGTGTATGTTAAATGTCCTCTCCTCTGTGCAGGAAACGTGGACAGAATGAGGATGACACTTCCCAGACGCTCTGCCCTTTGCCGTAAGGTGCAGCTCTTCCCTGGGACAGACCCGCACGCGCCTCCGTAACAGTGCACACACAGAGGACTTTTCTGTGTTTACAAACTTTATGTTCTTACTCTGCAACTTTGGTTTCTATACTTAAATAAATCACAAACATCTCTAAACCTCAAAGACCGCACTCTAGTTCATTTCTGAACTCGCTGTCTAATACACACTATCTACCTACAATATGGGTAGACTACAGTTTATTCTAATATTCTCTTGCTGATGAAATATTTGATTTCACATAAGCTAACAAACCAGAAATGGTCACCACTGACAAAGTAAGCTGTGCTGTAACAAAGACAGCAAATCAATCATTGAAAAAAGAAACACTATTGCCTGGAAGCTTTCTGATTGTTTTTAGGATACTGTTGGTCAAAATTATTAGTTTTAATAATTTTTTTAATAATCATGTATTTAAATATATCAAAGCTCAGATTATAGTTTCAAACATTAATTTATAGTTCTATATCGTGTTTTCTTCAAGGATTATGCATGATGGCCCATTAAGGAGTATTGTTCTCACTAATATTCACGAAGGGCCCCTAAGCCGAATTACATTCTCATTCATAAAGATTCTCTTAACTTTGAACAGTATGTCTAACTTGCCACCTTACGTAACTCCTGGGACTATAATTTTAATTACTGTAGAGGAGTTACTCCTAAAGAAAATTACTTTCTATACAAACCAGGCAAGGAAAAGGTAGGTGGATTTAAAAACTACTGATGTTGGTGCCATGCGAGCCATTCAAGGATGCTAAATTATTTGCTGTGATAGCCTAGTTCAAGTAAGTATGTCCTTCTTAAAGATGTAGTAAGAAAAATCCCCAAAATCTTATTAACTATCAGCAGACTTTACTATTTCATTAGAAACACATGAAGATTTCCACGTCCATCTGAAAAAGCAATGTATAATGTCATTAATAAAATATTTACAAGGATATGGAGAACCCGTCAGTCATCCAGGTGTAGGAGATGCCACATAATTGTAACCGCATTTACTTACCTTCCTTTCTTGAGCTTTAGATAGAATACAGAGTACCTGCATGCTTCAACTCTTTTTTAATTAAAATAAGTTCTAGACAAAGGCAAGCTATGGAAAAGTAACAACCTTATCATTTTTCTGCTCCCTTCCAGGAAAGGCATCCCAGGTCCCTGCCCAGTGAGAAGTTCAAGGAAGAAAACAGAAGTATTTCTCAACAGTCAACAGGAGTAAAGGTCCCGTCAGGCATGGTGCTCACGCCTATAATCCCAGCACTCAGGAGGCTGAGGCAGGAGGATGGTTGCAAGTTCAAGACCAGCCTGGACTACAAAGTGAGCCCAAGACCAGCCTGAACTGCATAGTGAGACCCTGTCTTAAAAAGACAAAACAAAACAAAACAAAACAAAAGAGTAAAGGTCCCCCCACTACGCGCGCCCCACAAAACATGATATTTAATTAAAATGGAAGTACCTGAAGGAAATCCACCACCAAAAAATATGTTGAACAGGTCTTCGGGGGTTATGTCTGCCTCACAGCCTCTGTGGAAGCTGAACCTGCCATTGCTGGGCTTAGTGCAAGCCTGCTCTTCACTGCCGGTGAGGTCATACTGCTTTCGTTTCTCGGGATTACTTAGAACAGCATAAGCATTTCCGATCTCTGAAAAGGTAATGAGTGAAAGTCAGTAAGCAAAGTCTTTATTTCCTAAAAGATTGCTTCATATAAGCTATGATCACTTAAAAATTACTTAATGAATCCAGAAAATGATAAAATAGTGAGTTTTAAAAAAGATGTTATACATTGTTTGCAACTGCACATACTGTTTCTCAGTGCAACTTCCCTGGACAGGCAAGTCCTGCCACCTCCAGAGAAAGGAATGTTCATCTATTCTCTAATACTCTGCTCCATTCCTAAAACTTCTGCTCAGAGTATCCTAATTCAAGATTACTCAAACTAATAACCAATAATATATGGCATTCCTATTAATTTTGTACCCAATACCTTACCATATGATCTGTTAATATCCCCACTTTGCAGCTGAGGACCCTGAGGCTCAAAATGGCTAAGTAACTTGTTCAAGATCAACCTCTTGGCACAATAAATGTACCCTCTCTATTTTATGCATCCTCAACAAAACCTAGATTTCCATACTAGTGCCACAGTGAGCTCTTCTCGTTCTGAAACATTTATTTTGTTTAAGATGGTAAACTCCATGGAAGTACGGGTTGAGTCTGTTTTCACTCAATTATTCTGGGTCCATCATAAAGCTTCTTAATAACACATGACCTGAGTTTATCTATCTCACTTTGTTATCTCACGGTATTTATTCATAAGAAAGTTTATTTCCTATCTCTTAGTCCCATGCTCAAAGGGCTTGGCACACTAGCTATGAGAATGTCCTCTTGGGTGACGTATAAAAGGTACAATACTCTGAAAATGCCCAGTTCCTGAACTTCTAATAATTTATTATTTCATAAATATAGCTTGCTTCTTAAACTAGACTGCAAGCTTCTTGCAACAAATATAGGATTTTTTTTTTTTTCTGACTTTGTGAGACAGGGTCTCACTATGCAGTTCAGGGCAGACTTGAGCTCACTTGGTAGCCCAGGCTGGCCTCCAACTCACAGTCATCTTCCTGCCTCAGCCTCCCAAGTGCTGGGATTACAGGCGTGCACCATCATGCCCAACTAATAGGGGATAGTTTTAAAAATTCTTTCTCAATTCCATGTGGTGGCTGTCATATGTAAACTATCCAAGCAAACAGATGGTCATCAGGTAGTTGCTGTTAGAAAATTACACATTACACTGAATTTAATTCCTTCTGATGGGACTTCTTTAAAACTGGGATTCAGAGATGACAGTGTTCAGGTGGTCTGTGAACCTTGTTCTTTGAAAAAATATGGTAGACTGTTCATCTACTGAGGACATGGTCTCAAATGTTCTTCAGATTCTCAGAGAGCTCTGTGACTCAGAAACGTAGACATTATTTGTAATGTTATTTCAATGGAAAACTATAACTGGAGATTAAGAAAATATACTTACAAGCAATGCCAAGGCATTCACTTATACTTCAAAAAAAAAAGTCCATCTGCTGTTCCCTGCTGAAGTTCCAGTTCCAGTGACAGGATCAGTTTCAGAGTTTAACCATCAACTGTAGCTTTACAATAAAATTACTTTTAAAACCATTCCTATGTAGGCAACCCAATTCTAGTTTAAGGCTTTCTTTAAATCAATTTTCAAACACAAAGATGTTTTAGAAGACACTGCTGACTGTCACAAGCTATATATCCTACTGTCTGTGGAACAATTTACTCAGTATGTTATGAAGTAAGCACCTGTCTATCCATTTGTTTTGTGCTGTAGCTGCAGGCAGGAATTTTTTGTTTTTGCAGTTCCTTATAACCTAAAGATTTAAATTCAAATTTTAATTTTGGTATTCAAAAGACTTACAAAACACATTTCTACTTCCTGTCACTTATTTCACCAAAACTACCTTCCACTTTATCCATGTTTGCTTAAAAAACTTTTTGAGGCCACTACAGAGTCACACACAGTTGTGACAATCGAGATCATTTTGCGTACCTTCTCGCAGTGGTAGTACTCAGAAAGTTACACGACAATGCCATGAACAGACCAGTAAGCGCCCGAAGTGGAAGGTCTTCACCACTTTACACTGCCTTTAAAGACCACCCACCTGCCCAGCACTTGTCCTTAACCACTGAAACTATTCTCCATTTTGAAATTCTGTCATTGCAAAAACAATAAATAAATGGAATAATCCTGGAATGGGATGATGGGATGAGTGGGCCTGGCCTTTCCCGGTCAGCACTGCTCACACTGCTGCAGGAAGTCACCTCCTGGGTGTGGGCAGTGTAGTTTGCTTACCCATTAATCACTCTACACCACCTGGGCATTAGTAATTTTGGGCCATTATAAACAACATGGGCTCTGTGTAAACATAAATTTTCTTTTCTTTGGGGTAAATGCCCAGGAGTACACTGCGAGATTGTTCAGGTGCCGCGTGGCTGGTGGTAAGAACGAGCACCGTGTCTGCTGGACCGACCAAAATTCACCGCCACACCAGCATTCAGGGCTGACCGTATTTCTCCACGTATTAGGACACACAGGCAGTGCGATAGTGTCTTAGTCTCACTTTAAATTAAATCTTCCCACATGCCTCACTGCCACCTGTATTGCCATCGTCATGAAATATCTTTGACTGTTTCAAAATTTTAAGAGTTCTTTACATACTCAAGGTATGAATCCTTTGTCCTATCTTTGGTCAGCAAACACTTTCTCATCCTGTAGTTTGTCTTTTCATCTTTTTGAAAGAGTAGAGCAAACTTCTAAAGGTGTTTGAAGACTAACCCACTTTGCCTTCTGTGAACTTGCATAAGATCTTAAGAAATAACTGCCTGGGCCTGTACCCTACAGATTTATTCTCACAACATTAGCTAAAAGTTAAATATTATTTTTTGTGCTTACACTTGTGATCCATTATGCAAAGTTGAAAAAGAAAATTAGATAAAACATGAGACTATGGTCTGGGTTAATTTTTTGCCTATCAGTATCCAATCACATTACAGACCAATTTTTGAAAAGGCTGCTTTTCCTATTGAATGGATTTTGCACCTTGGTCAAAAATCAGAGTAAGCTGGGCAACGTGGTGCCTGCGCATAATCCACACACTCTCTCTGTGAAACTGAGGCAAGTTTGAGGCCAGAGGACAACTTAGCAACACCACAAGACATGGGGGTGGGGGGTCTGGGTACACAACTCAGTGTGAAGGTTCCAGGAACAATCCCCAGCACCCAGCATCAGATGCTGTAGTCCTGTGGGTCTGTTCTGGATCCCTGTCCTGTCCTGTTGGCCTGAATGTGTGAGCTTCAACCAAGCCGCACTTCTGCCTCCCATACAGTTCAGAATGAACCTGCACGTCATGTCAGGGTCAGGACAGAACTGCTAGCCTGCACTTCAGCCAGCAGCGACCTGACATCTGTACGGTGCACTCTCTCAGAGACCTAGCATATTCCGTTCTGTTCATCTGTATCTTCGCCGATGTTTTTCTCAATGTTGTGTAGCTTTCAGCATAAAAATGTTAATCAGCCAAACTGCACTAAATTACATGTATGAAAATGACAAAATATGCATTATTCTGTATAATTTACTTTTAAATGTATGTTTTTGAAAATTATATATTTAAATTTATAAGTGTTTAATGATTACAAATGTTAATTTACAAGCTTACTTTTCATTTTGGTGTCTGTATGTTAACTGCAAGTATGGAGACATGGACTTGACTTTTCTATGTGCATTTTATATCCTGAATATCATGTAATTCACTTACTAGATTTCTGTAGATTCCACAGGATAGGAATTTTCCTCTCTGAGTATCTTTTATATCTTTTTCTCACCTTAAACCAGCGGTTATAACTTCCAGCACTATGTTGAGCTGAATAGACATGTTTGCTTCACTTTTTCAGTCTATTCTTTCATTGTTAAATGTAACACTAGTTGTAAGTGTTCTGTCATTATTATTTTTTCTTGAGACAGGGTCTCGCTGTGTAGTTTAGGCTGGCCTTGAACACATGCTGATCCTCCTGCCTCAGCCTCCCAAGTGCTAAGATGAGTGATGGTGTGCATCACTCCCAGCTTTATCATTACTCTCTATCAAGATGTGGCCGTTCCTCTCTACTGCTTTTCTGAGTTCTATGAATGAGTGCTAAAATTTTTCAAAAGCTCTTACTGCGCTGATGTAGTCATGAACCTTTGCCTGCTTCAGCCCAATTACACTGATATTCCATTGGTGAAGAACATTCAACTGTGTTGTACGTTTGTTGTACGTATATTTAGAACCATATCACACAAATCTTGGAATTTGGGTAGGGTATACTTTTTTTTTTTGTCTTTTTAAGATAGAGTTTCACTATGTAGTTTAGAGTGATCTTGAACTCATTGTGTAGCTCAGGCTGGCCTTGAACCTCACAGCAATCCTCCTGTCTCAGCCTCCTGAGTGCTAGAATTACAGGTGTGCACTATCACACCTGGCACAAATTTTTAAATATATTGTAACATTCTAATATTTTGTTAAATATCTTTGTGTTTATCCCAGAAATGATTCTGGCCTTTAGATTTCTTTTGTAGTGTTTCGTTTTGATGGTAGGACAAAATGAATTGGGAAATGTTTTTAGTTTTTTTCATTTTGTTTGAGATAGCTCTCACTATGTAGTTAAGGCTAGCCTTGAATCTATTATGTAGCTCAGGCTGTCCTCAAACTCTTGGTGAGTCTCCCGCCTCAGCATCTTGACAGCTGGGGTTACAGATGTGCGCCACCATGCCTGGCTGAGAAATGTTTCTCTTCTATTTTGGGGGAGAAATTAACCTTTTTGTCTTTTAAGCAAAACCTTTCTTGCTTTTAATTCTTCTTTAAAGAAAGTTTGTTATAATTCTCTAGAAAAAGCACTTGAGCTTGGAAATTTCTTTGGGAGGGGGGGAGTCTGACTAATTACATATTTCACTTACTAAATGGATTTATAGGACTGTTCACATTATTTCAGACTAAGTTGACATATTTTCATTTTTTGAAAGAATTGGTATTCTACTTCTAATCTGTAAATTTATATATGTGGAGCTGCTTGTGGTATTTTTTTGTCTTTTGT